ATATATATATATATATATATATATATATATATATATATATATATATATATATATATATATATATATATATATATATATATATATATATATAGATTTCGTATATATATATATATATATTATTATACAAAATGTTGAATTGACCGTGGCGTCTCTTAGGGAACGAGGCGTTTAGAATGGCCGTTTATTATATCATTTGCGGTACGAACACGCCCGCACGGAAAAAGGAACTGTAGCTAAAAATAGGACGTCTCCGATCTGTCGAATGGGGAGAGTATATGCAAGCAAATTATACTGGATTCTGTTTTTTGAAATGGCGATCGGACAATTTCAGAATAATTTAAACCATTTGCCGTGCGTGTAGTCATGTACCGCGTATGTATAAAAAACGCATAACTGTAAAACAGCCTTATGTAGTTAAAGGGAAAATGGCAACATAAATTTTTATTTTCTCATTTGAAAAAACTTTTGAAACTATATATTAACTTCTTTTACCGATTTTTCATATCTTGCTTAGTTCTTGAAATATTTTCACTTGAAGTAATGAGATGTCCGCCATCTTGGATAAATTTTTTATCTCATTAACGGTAGTTTTGGTGACAACATGGATTAACCATATAAAAGTATTCGTTGCTGACCAAATATTGATTGCTAGATGTTTTAAAGGTTTTGAGTGATCTTGATATTTCGAAGGGCAGACAGAGTATAATTTTGCGTGCAAAATGATTAGTATTTGTCTAGATAAAATATTGTGTGGCACCTGTTGTGACGTGACATGCATATCTACAAAGCCCCCCCTCCCCCCACCCCCCTACAAAAATTGAAGATGGCGGACATTTCATTCCTTTCCATCAAAATATTGGTTGAAGTAAGCAAGATAAGAAAAAACCCAGTAAAAGAGTATTAATATATAGTCTTAAGAGTTCTTTCAAATGAGAAAATAAAAAATATATTGCCATTTCCTTTAAGATAACTGATGTTGGGTGCACTGTTAGGCATAACTAGTTGTGGTCGTCAAAAGTTAATTTGTAGTCCGTATAGTTCAGTAGTTGATTAATGTAATTTATATACAAATAGAGTGATCACTGTCGCCTAGTTTGGCCAGTTAGGGGTGGACCATTAGAAAAGTGATGGGGGGAGGGGGGGACTTTTTCAACTTGTACGAATATTTTTTTTTAATTTTTGCTTGTTTCGATAATTTTTTTAATTAAATATAATCCCTTGCACGATTTTTTTTTTATTTCTACTTATAATTTTCCCTATTGAAAAGTCTCCTGCACGAATTTTTTTTTTTAAACTTTTTTGGTCCACGAATTTTTTTTCTTTCTGTTTCCCCTGCTCGATTTTTATTTTTGCTTCCCCCCATCACTTTTCTAATGGACCGCCCCTTAGGCCTCTAGGTTTGAAACATTGAACTGAGTTTGACGTAAATTTAATATATATTATCCATAACTCTTTTGAAAATTAAACTGTATTTGAAACAAAAACATGGACTAACCTCGAATTATTATAGGGCGATTGAATGCTGTGATTTTCAGATTGCAAATTAAAGCGTAGTGCTGTCGTTTAAAATAAAGGTCGTCAGATTTAGATTAGGGTTAGATTAAGGTCCGATTAAGATTAGATTAGGGTTAGAGGGTCGTGGTTAAGGTTGGGTATAGGGTTCAAATTAAGGCAATGTCTTAATTTCGGCAGCACTTTTTGACAATGTGTTCTTACCCAACCATTAATTCAAAGCAATTAGAGCTATCAAATTACTACAATACCTTATAGCTTGAATACCTTATACCAATACCTTATACCTTGAATTTGAAAGGGTTCATTTTTTATATACACACTGTAAATCATATTACTGTTGTTGTACTGTACTTGTAAAATAAAAACTTATTAAGTGTCATTAAATAAATGCATAAATTTTGCTTTATGCACTCGCGTGTGCAGCAATTTTGACAGTTGTGCTATTTTAAATTCCCATGCAGGCACCTAAAATCTTTTGTCCATAAAACAATGTCGATTTCTTGGGAAATTCCGAGGTTGCGGTTTTTTATCAAAAAAAGAAGACCTTTAGAAATTGTCCTATTGTTATAATTTCAATGTCTGAAATGTGCTAAGTGTACGGATGTGTAAAATATTGACAGCTACGTGCATACATTACAATATCTTTGTTGTATGCACAAGCGAACAGTACTTTGTGTTGAAAGAAATGGGGTCGGGCCACGTCGAAGAACACGGTGCTCGATATTTTGATAGATATAAAGTTTTATTTGATACTTGTATTAAGGCTTAAGCGCTACGTTAAATTAATGAGCAAGTACATTAATTCATATGTTGACATGTTGGATGAAATGGAAAATCTTTTAAATAATTCCATGCATAAAATTCAATTAAATTTGGTCGGACCTCTACTGAAGGTCTTAAAATAATTGAGCTACCTTTACATTGACATCAGTAAGGTTAGACTTTCGCGTCGTCTCGGATAAGGACGTTAAAATCGTAGGCACCTCGGATCCCTTCGGATAAACAAGTCTGATGCATGTATTTTTTTTCAAACCCTTTTTGTTTGCATGAATTGTTTTTCTGTTTTTTCCCCACACTCCCCATCACTTTTCTAATGGTCCGTCCCTAATAATCTTTTGTTGCGTCCGTTTGCGTACCTATTTTTAATCCTGACTAAAATTTTTGCTGACGTTGCACCGGACAGTAGCCTGCAAGCAGACGTTCTTGTTGAGCGACGAGGCGAGTACGAGAAAGAACGTCTGCCGTCAAACATCAAAATTGGGATTCCGCCCCCTTGCATAAATTAATTAAAAATTTCCCGCTATTTCTCGGCCCCTTGCATAAATTAATTAAAATTCCCCGCCATTCTCCTCTTATCAAGTATCAAATTACAAAATTATGCAAAATATCAAACCGGAAGGTGGTAGATACGATGATCAGCCAATGAAAACCTTAGTCCATCATACGGACTAGAGAATTTTTTTTATGTTATAATGTCCATAGACTGTCTACTCTCTTCCCCTCCCCTCTTTCTTCCCCCAAAGACAGTCGTGTTTACAGGCTAACCGGACAGAAGTGACATGATATTTGTGTGTGTTGGTGTTATGTACTCAGGTGAATATGATGTTTGTGATGTAGGGTTGGGCGATATTAAAAAAATCATCTCACGATTATTGTCAAGGAAATTATCACGATATTCGATAATATCGCGATAAATGCAATACAAACAATGGCCACATTTTTCAATTTTAATTAATATCAATGCATAGTAAGCTTATATATAATCTTATTAAAAAACAAGTAAAAACAACAAATTAAAGTAATATGAAGGCTTTTTGTCGGTCTAATATTCACTGTTCATAAATCAGAACTGTACTTGCATTATGGATATAGATTCATGTCTCGCTAATAGGGTTAGCGGTTAGGGTTAGGGTGGGGATTAGGGTTAGCATTATAAATAGCGAGACATGAATCTATAACCTGCATTATCTACTATGTCTCCGCTGGCACAAATACTGTGTGCACACAGCCCAAGCAAAGCCTGCAATGTCATTTTAATTCAGGAAATAATTTTAATTCTTTTAAAAACTATATTTTCTACGAACTGAAAGAATTTTTTAGGATTTTATATATGTACACATGCGAAGCAATATCACGATAGTCTTCGACCATCACAATAATTTTGATATATCGTCGCTCAAGTATCTACCTTCGATACGATAATCGCGATTGAAAATATCGCGATAAATCAAAATATCGAAATACCGCCCAACCCTATTGTGATGTTACTACCGGGCAAGCTGAAAAGTTAATTGCTTGGCCACGGTGGGAATCGAACCCACATGTTATGACAAAGAAAATTTAGTGTACAAACTGCGGAAAATGTCTCCGATTGCTCGGCTACCAGTTTAAAAAATGGAATCACATTGGAAGTTTCGCCCATCAGCATCAAAGGGGGAAATAAGGTGATACGGACCCCTCCTCCAGTTTTTCAAGGTGACTTTTCGAATTAACACTTGTTTACCAAATGGAAAACACAGTAGACCATCATCACTTGGAAAGAATATGAAAACTTGCAACAAACTAGTCGTATCACGTTAAAAGACATATCGTGTATAACAGTTTTCTTCTAGACGTTTTGACAAGTGAAGATGGCATAATATGATCGAAAATCCGAAGTACACTTTACAGTATTTTTAGAAACTCCAAAGATCGATAACATTTTTATATTTATCTACGTTTCGACTATATTTCAGTCATCATCAGGATAAACATCATTTACAGTCATCCTCTAGTTTATCATGACTGGAATATAGTCGCAACGTAGATAAATATAAAAATGTTATCGATCTGTGGAGTTTAATACACTTGTTTTGTACTTTACAGTATATATAGTAATTATTGCACGTTGTAATTTCGATATTTTTTAAACAAAATAAATTCATTCATACAGCGTGTATAAGGCAATTTAAATAAACGAAGTTTATTGGTATAATTAATCTCCAGGGCTTTGGTCGTAAGGCAGCACTTTTCTAGCCTGCGAACGGGCTCTCAAGCTGAATTGAGAGCCTGCATCGATGACTAATGAATTTGAATATCTGCCCCGTAACGTTCGTTTTTCCAAATATGGAATGTATATCCTTATATGGTGTTGTTTACAACTTTCGTGCAAACTAAATTTAGACCGTGCAAACTAAATTTAGACCGTACAGTTTATACTGTTTTTCGAAATATAAGATATTGAAGCAAAAGTTCAAATGTTTTAAATACTGTTTTCTCAAAACAGAACAGTTCGTGCTTTGAGATAAGATGGTCAAGACCAATTTGATCAGTTAATGTGTTTTTTATGCATAGTGCTTCAGCAGTTGACATATATAGAGCTCAGCGGAAACATATAAATTATAGCATCTGACCAATGAGAATTTCGCGTCACGATTTGAGACGCAGATATTCAAATTCATTGGTCATCGATGCAGGCTCGCAATTCAGCTTGAGAGCCTGTTCGCAGGCTAGCACTTCCCTTGCGATAGTAACTTCTAGTTTAAATAATAATTAGCTACCTTTTTAAAGTGACGTCATATATATTTATACAGCAATAGAAGCAAAACTTACTGAACTTCAGACATCATTTTCTCTTTGGCATACCATCTAAAATCTCTTCGTTTTAGGATTAATTTACAGATAAAGCACTAAACATACTTTTTAAGTCTGTTTGCCACTTTGCCACTTGAGAAACGTTCAAAAATCTAAAAAATTTAATATTGTCAAGTGGAAAAGTATATTCATGAGTTTTGAGCGGCGAGCGCGTGTTACGTAACGTACTTAAAGTCTTAAATACCAGTCATTGTCCGTCATACTGGACATTTACGATAAGTAAGTCACTGATTTGCAATATGGCAGAAAAATGACCCCCTATAGCCGAACCTAAGCCAGGGGGCAAGACTCAAGTCGACGAACCTTATGTTAACCATCTGTTGTTTCTGTTTTGACGCGACCGACGATATTTAGTAAAAGATAAAATCACCCGAAAACATTATTAAATTGTTACCACTCGTGTGATGAACAGTAAATTATCCTTGTGGAAATCACACCTACAAGCCATAAGAAAGGACCTAGTTAAGTCTTGTTTTTTTCTTCAAAAGCGCATTGAAAAGAGTACTTAGACTTGATCGAAACGCGTGTGTTTTGAGATAAGCACACATTGTGTAGACTTGCCACACACACATGTAAACCAGTTTTTTTAAATGACCAAATAATAACATCCAAGGCATTTTATTTGCTTGCCTCATTCCTGACGTTTTCGTGTTTGTTTCAAATGCACAAATTAATACTCTTTCTGTAAATGTGAACGTAATTACTGTAATTAATATTAAAGCGTCCATATCAATTAAGAACATGAAGAGTTTAGAAAAACATTTTTAAATAGGCTCTTTGCAGTTAACTGTGATGCCGAACTGGGTTTAGCAGAACTCTTCCCAACCATAAAACCCATGTCTTCAACTTCTAAGACTGTATTAAATTCATACGATTGATAATATACGACGAACTAACTTTACTATCATTTATTTGAAGGAGTTTGTTTTGGCCGTCGCCGTCCTAAAATCGTAAGGTCTCTAATATGTGACAAGGAACGACCCCAATTTTTTAATTCATAATTTTAATTGTTTAAATTTTCAAAATATTTAAACCTTTTTTAGTTCCTATAATCTAGTAGTTTTCATAGTTTATTTCGTATATGACACCATAGGAGTCGGAGTAAATAACAACCATTTCAGGAATACTGGTCCCCAGTACTTGTCCCATTACTTATTTTACACAAAAAAATGTAATGAATTAAATGTTGGAGGGGGTCCTAAGTTTTCTAGATGAAGGTGGGGGCGTCTTGAAAATAAAGGTCTTGCGATTGGGGCGGCTCTAATAAATGTTCAATATTTGGTATTTATTACCCATGTCCGTGTTTGATACAGGCTTAAAGATTCGGGGGGGTGGTGGTGGGGTTTTGATTCCCAGTTTAAAGATTCGGGGGGGTTTCGATTCCCAGTTTAAAGATACGGATTCCGTCGATTTACACTATCAGATGTATCTAAGACCTCAACATTTTTACACGAAACACATTCCATGTTCAGGCTTGACATAAACCCCTGTTTCCTTCCTTCTTCAAGTAACAGGTTTCCTATGTGAAAGTTTTGAAAAATTTCTAGTGAGATATAATAGCATAATATTTGGGCAGTACACACACATGACATGATGACAGTATGTAGTGGTATTTATTGGTCCACTGGGCAAGCAGAAATTTGTAGTAAAACTGCATTCTACAACTAAGAGATTGTTTCAAATTTTACCAAAAGTGTTTTACAAGTTAGAAACAAAATCATGAAGCCTACCTTTTCGACATTTATGAATATCAAAGACAGCAGATGACAGCTGTTGAATGTCAACAAGTCTGTATCAGTGTATCACTGTATGCAGAGGTTTGGTCGGCAATTCTTTCTTCTATAGCATCTTTTGGGGGTACCAAGGCAGCTATGCTGACTCAATTTCCATCTTAATGCATTAATGGGTGTTGGAGTTAAAAGTCAGACCTCTGTGAATCAGAATCACTATCAACATCTTGATCACCCAAAGACGATTGATTGTCCTCAGGCGCTTGCTTTTACAGACCAACACAGCCAACTCTTTTACGATAGACACTTCTCTTTCTTTTGCTAATCATTTGACTAACTAGAACGCTTTTATAACATCACCAGAAAATATTTCAACTTGCTGTTGGGTGAGCTCGCTTTTCAAGAAACCACAATGCGCTAGACAATGCATTGTTTTGAAGTAACAGCCGCTGAACAGAGAGTTTGCAGACCCTTTTTGACTGTTCTCTTCAATTTTTAGCAAACATGACATATTACACCAAAAAACAATGAAAATTTTAAAAAATAGCATGCCGTTGCCATAGTAACGCATGCAAATTTTAAATACACAGTCATAAAATGTTGAAAAAACACAAAATCCGTGAGAAATACCCCCCAATTTTTTGGCAGTGGTTAAATGAAGATCTAAACTTATTTTTTAACCCAAAAAAAAATAATTCAATTTTCCGTCACTGTTTGGGTAGACCCTCCCCTTAAATGTCTAGGTCTTGATAAAAGACACCAATATTTCGCTATCAGGAAAATTATGTCTATCGGAATTAGGACAACATATTATATATTTTGTTGCAGAGATAAGGACTGGTTAAATCCGGAATTACTGAACATTTAAGGATACTCATTATTAATATATAAATATTAAGCAGGTTCAAGTAGTCAATTATAAATTACCTAAATTAGTGAGATTTATAATTGTATATATACGTATATAATTTCAATAAAGTTTCCATTATTATTATTATTATTATTATTATTATTATTATTATTATTATTATTATCATTATCATTATTATTATCATTATTATTATCATTATTATTATCATTATTATTATCATTATTATTATTATTATTATTATTATTATTATTATTATTATTATTATTATTATTATTATTATTATTATTATTAATATAAGGGGGGTGTTGAGTCTAAGACAGCCGAGATCAAGTGAATTATTAATGAGTTTGTAAACAAGCAAAATCCACATCTTTGCGCAGATTTACATGAATTTGCTATCAAAATGCGCAAAATTTCACGAAGACGTCAATTCTGGCGGTATCTGGAGTCAAAGACCTGCGCATAAGGTCCTAGTGCCAGTTTTCTTCAACAGACACTGCGCGCGAGGCGAATGGCCTATATAAATCATAACAAATAGCGCATAATCAAACGAAAAGTGCCCTTCGAATTAAGTATTATTTTCCCATAAAAGTACATTCAAAAAACGTCTAAAGGCTTATTCTTTCCTATACCGTAGGTATCTGAACACAGATATAATCGTAGAGCAAACGTAAGCGAAAAAACGTCAAATTTGGGGGTGATTTGTATAGGCAAAAGTTGGAAATATGACACGCGCAATACGATATGACTTTTCAGTGTGAACGCAAAGTTTGATAATTATGTAAAGATTTGGGGGGTTTTCGATTCCGGATTTTAAAGATTTGGTGGTTTTAGATTCCGAGTTTAAAGATTCGGGGATTTTGAATTGCGGATTTTAAAGATTCGGGGGTTTTCCGATTCCGAATTTAATCTGTAAAACCCGGACTGAGAAAAGCCGTAATCTGTAAAATCCGGAATGAGAAAAGGCGGAATCTGTAAAACCCGGAATGGAAAAAGACGGTATCTGTAAAATGCGGAATGAGAAAAGCCAGAATCTTTAAAACCCGGAATGGAAAATGTATGTTACAGTTCGTTTACAAATTCAATATATAGTACTCATGTAGACCCAAAATATTTCCAACATAGCAAAGAAATTTATTAAACGAAAAGCATTTAAAGACTTTTAATTTAAAAGGAAACAGCCTATATTTTTCTTTCCTGAAATCAACGTTATTGTCGCGGCATAGCAGTCAGTAAAAGGCAGGGCGCTTATATATATATAAGCGCCCTGGTAAAAGGTTTATCAGACATGCGCTCTCCGCAATAAAGGCAGTAACCTGAAAACCACAGGATTCAATCGCCTTTAATAACTTGAAGTTACTCTTATGTTTTTATTTCAGATACAGTTTAATTTGCAAGAAAATTTTGGACCATTTAAATTTGACTTTTAAAAAAGGCGTAAATGGCCAAATTTTGTAATAAAACAAATCATTACTGATCAACTGGTATAATAACAAAAATATGGCGTTGCAAAAACTTAAATACATTAAAGCTAATTTATTATGCATTGCCGGGTCTATCCGGCATATCTTATTATCGACGAAAATAATTTATATTTTATTACCAAACATAAGCAGGACTACTTCAGGAATTCGTTTTTTGTAAGGTCAGCAAATCTGTGGAACAGCCTCTCGTCGCAACTTAAAAGTTGTACATCAATATCTGTATTCAGTTCCAGACTACGTAAAATGTATAAAGATCGACTGCTATTTTACAGCCCTCCTGGCTGTTCTTAACTTTATAATATCCTATGGCATGGTTTCCTATTCATGTTATGTGTTTGGTAGATGTATAGTCATTTATTAGGAGTTAGGTGTCAATTGGGACGCAAGTCCTGTTCCTCTCTCCAGTCACACCTATGTTGTATATCTAACTTATGGCAATCTACAATCTTGTACATAACTGGTTGAGGCTATTTTCCCCCTAAAGAAAATGCGCATATTTTTATGATAAACTCCATGTTGAATCATGTTGCCATTCTTAAACTCCCGCTCCCCCAACTCAATGTTGAGCTTGTATCATGGATTCATGGTATATTACCAAAAGTTGTTTCGGCGTTGTTCACAACATTGAACTGGGGAGACAAAGTTTGTTTTGTCAATGTTCAATAACTTTGTAATATTGGCTGGAATGGTCTCAAGGGTTTTATCCAAGATTGTAGCTAGCATGGAGTTGTATACCCAACAAGAATTCAAAAACTTTTAATTTGCAGAAAAAGATTATTCGATTAATTAGTTTTATTATCAGTTGATCACACACAATCATTATTAGTTGTATACTTTGATCACACAGAACCATTATTCCATAATCTAAAAATCTTGAATATATTTTAAATTCAATGATTACCGGCCTAACCAGTTTATTCATATACCGTTACAACTGCAGCAAAGACTTACCGCGAATGTATTTGGAAACTGTTTTGTAACAAACAACAAAAAAACATATGCATAATACCCGAACTCCAAGACATTACATAAAGCATTTCAGAGAACAAATTATCGCAAGCATACCGTCTTTGCCTTTGGTAAAGGAATTGATATATTTGGAATGAATTACAATTAGATATTAAAGGTCTTACTATAAGGCATATATAGCTATATAATACTTTTAAGAAAAAGCCAAAACCTACTATATAAATATTTAACTTCAAGTAGAGATTTTAAGATAGAAACCTGGTAAGATTTTACGGATACATGTTAAAATAGAAAAGTTTACTTATAACTTGCATATATATTATATTACGATATTTTATGTAAATAGTTTCTTCTTTGTTTCTTTTCGACAGACTGAACTGTATAATATACTTAGCATATTGACTAGGGCCTATATAGGGGTCTTTTAAATAAAAGCCCTTCACTCTTCAGGGTTTCTTAAAGCTTCTATAGCCCTAATACTGATTTATTTCAAATAGTTGTTTTGTTAAACAAAGTATAGGTAAAATTAAAATAATAATATTTAATAATAATAAAAAAAACCCCAAAAACCTGCAATCTTGGATATAACTAGTTGAGACCACCTTTTCCTCTATATATATAAAATTCACATAGCGGCTTTATCGGTGGTGAAGCTAGTAGCCATGGCAATTAGCCTGCATCTATCGACACATGCGCAGGTATAATAAACGCTTTCTCTTTAAAAATTTATGAAAATCATGTCCATTAATAAATTGATGTTAACTATGTTATAATCCTAGTGATAATGGACTAAACTTTCACCAAACGCAAATAACTTACTGGGGCCAAATGGGACCCAACTGGGGCCACTTACTGGGGGCAAAACATTTGGCAAATGTTGTAATTTTATTTCGTATACACTAAATATGCAAATGAAAGGAAAGAAATAAAACTTTGACTATAAAGCCCACTGATCTGAAATATTGGATAGCGCATCTACTGTCTTTACCATAAAGTGAAGTTAATTATATTGCGGCCACCATTAATCTAATCTGCTGTTGTCGACATGTTTAACTATTCCTTTATGTTCCTAGTCACTAGTGGGAAAGGACAAATATTACCTAGATAAGAATTTATCACCAGTAGCCTCTCTTTTTTCCTAAATTTGCCGGTGAATAACTAATGGCGCCATCAAATATGGCCGCCATAGGCCTCATTTAATATGTGTTGTATTATAAACCGTTCTAAAACTATTTCGAAGAAGCTCGAAGAGGTTTTGGAAGCTATATTTCACAAGTCACATAGGCGAAGATATTTGCTTTATAGTCTACAAACGATTAGACTGGTCATGAATTTGACTGATTTTATAAATCTCATCTCATTAAAATATTCTGGCTTCAAAATCGGGTTACTGAATTCAATAGACAATAGGATTTCAGATCAGTGATAAAGTCTGACCGTAAGACAACCCTGAAATTAACCATCACTAAAGTCTATAAACAAAAGTAGGATGATTTTTCTGTGTTGGTGCAATGTAGTCAAGTGAATATGATGCTTGTGATGTTACTCTGAGTGTATATCCACACCGCGGGCAAGCTTGAAAAATATGCGGCCTGGCCACGGTGGGAATCGAACACGGTGGGAATCGAAAAGTAGGATGAATGCTGTTTAGGAATCTGGATACTAGGTTTTAGAATAAAGCTTCAGTCGATGTAATTTCCGTTTCCTCGTTTGCGTGTACGACCGCATTAATACAAAGTGCGTTTTCAATTATTGATTATGTTATATAGGACATTTTACAGCCCTCTTTTAAATTGTCAAAATTACTTTTATAAATTGCAAAGTTAATTTCAGGAAGTAAAATTTAAGCCGATATAAACATGCCAAGTCGAACAAGTTTTCTATACGCCAAGTTTTCATATGTGACAATGGGCAATTCCAGCTGCCCATAGACTAAATTTTGATCTAGGCAAGAATAACAGAAACCATCAGCACAGCTAGAAAGAGCATGTTAAAATTAGTTGATTGCAAAGTGTGGTTGCGAAATGTTGTAAAATGAGGAAAATATAGCCCTGCGAAATTTACAAATTTTGTATTAATTTGTATTACGCACGGGAATTTGCACCACATTTGGACCGAAAGTGGTGCATTTTCCCGTGCGTATAATACAAATTAATACAAAATTTGCAAATTTCGCAGCTGGGCAACATTTTACAACCAAACTTTGCAATTTTACTAATTTTAACATGCTCTTTCTAGCTGTGGTGATGGTTTTGGTTCTTCTTGCCTAGATCAAAATTTAGCTTATAGCTGGAATTGCCCAATTCCGGCTTTAAATTAAACAAGCTTTAGTTTTGAAAATAGGTTGTTCTCTCTTCAGAATTTGAGTATTCACAAAACAATTCAATAGGGAGGGAATTTAAGGTTACAGAACACATTTGAGTGTTAATTTTGCCTAAAATTTTTTTATTTGTTTCCATGAAAGCACTGATTAGACTAGTTCTACAATCAGACCAA